TCTTGGGTGCTTGGGCACCCTAGACGGTTGGTGGTATCACGAAGCTCAATCATTGTGGTATAAAGCTCCGGGCAAACTTCGAGGTCTCTGGTTAAGTTGTGGAGATTGCTCTGAGCAATTTGTATGGGTTTGGCGACCACCCCAAGGGTCACCAATTGTACGGGTTCAGTGATCACCCTCAAGGGTCCCTTAGTGGAATCACAACACCATGCATTGTGCGAGGGCGTGGGGAGAATACGGTGGCCCTAGTGGCATTTTGGGGAGCATTGTGCCTTGATACGTCTCCAACATATCTATAATTTTTTATTGTTCCATTCTATTATATTATCAATCTTGGATGATTTATATGCATTACTATACTATTTATATCATTTTTTGGACTAACTTATTAACCTAGTGCCCAGTGTCAGTTGTTGTTTTTTCCTTATTTTTTTCTTTATAGAAAATCAATATCAAACGAAGTCCAAATGGCACGAAACATTTTGATGTTTTTTCTTGGACCACAAGACACACTAGAAGCTTCGGGAGGAGGCCAGAAGGGCCACGAGGCGATGACAAGCTCAGGGGGGCGCCCCCAAGCTTGTGCCCCCCCCCCTGGATCCTCTAACCCTAATTCTTCTTCTATAAATACCCAAATATTCCCCTAAGACCAGGGGCACACCAAAAATACTTCTCCACCGTCGCAAGTTTCTGTCTTTGTGAGGTCCCATCGCAGACCTTTTTCGGTACTCTATCGGAGGGGGATTCGATCACGGAGGGCTTCTACATCAACCTTGCTGCCCTTCCGATGGTACATGAGTAGTTTACCACAGACCTAGGGGTCCATAGCTGTAGCTAGATGGCTTCTTCTATCTCTTTGATCTTCAATACAATATTCTCCTCGATGTTCTTGGAGATCTATTTGATGTAATCTTCCTTTGCGGTGTGTTTGTTGAGATCCAATGAGTTGTGGGTTTATGGTCAGATTATCTAAGAATATTATTTGAGTCTTCTCTTAACTCTTTTATGCATGATTTATATATCTTAGTATTTCTCTCCGATCTATTGATTTGGTTTGGCCAAGTAAATTGATTTTTCTTGCAATGGGTTCATCTTGCGGTGCTCATTCCCAGTGAAAGAAAGGGACGTGACACGTATTTGTATTGTTGTCACTAATGATCAAAAGATGGGTTTTGTTCATATTGATTGGACTATCCCTCTACATCATGTCATTGCTACTTCTTGAGCTTGCATTGATTTTTCCCTTAAAGAGAAAAGGGTGATGCAGCAAAGTAGAGATAAATATTTCCTTCAATTAGAGACCCAAGGTATCAATCTAGTAGGAGGTACAAGAAAGTCTGCAATGTATGCACCTGCACAAATAATCAAACACTTGCACCCAACGCGATAAAGGGGTTGTCAATCCCTTCACGGTCAATTGCAAATGTGAGATCTCATAGAGATAGGTATAAAAGGTTGCTAAAACGTAAAACAAAATAAAAGTAAATAAATTGCAGCAAGGTATTTTTGGTTTATAGATCTGAAAATATATGACGGAAAATAGACCCGGGGGCTATAGGTTTCACTAGAGGCTTCTCTCTTGAAGGAAAATGATACGGTGGGTGAACAAATTACTGTCGAGCAATTAATAGAAAAGCTGAAAGTTATGACGATATCCATGGCAATGATTATGAATATAGGCATCACGTCCATGTCAAGTACATCGACTCCTGCCTGCATCTACTACTATTACTCCACACATCGACTGCTATCTGGCATGCATCTAAAGTATTAAGTTCATAAGAACGGAGTAACGCCTTAATTAAGATGACATGATGTAGATGAATAAACTCAAGCAATATGATGAAAACCCCATCTTTTTACCCTTGATGGCAACAATACAAATACGTGCCTTGCTACCCCTACTTTGTCATTGGGTGAGGACACCGCAAGATTGAACCCAAAACTAAGCACCTCTCCCATTGCAAGAAGAACCAATCTAGTTGGCCAAACCAAACCGATAATTCAAAAAGAAATACAAAGATATAATCAAATCATGCATATAAGAATTCAGAGAAGATTCAGATAATATTCATAGATAAACTGATCATAAATTCATAATTAATCAGATCTCAACAAACACACCGCAAAAAATATTACATCGGATAGATCTCCAAGAATATCGAGAAGAACATGGTATTGAGGATGAAAGAGAGAGAAGAAGCCATCTAGCTACTAGCTATGGACCCGTAGGTATGTGGTAAACTATAATTTAAAAATTTTGTATTTAAAAAAAATACAATTTTTTTTGTGTTTTTCAAAAATGTTTGGAATTTAATATTTTGTTCTTATTTTTCAAATTTTTGCCCGTGTTTCCAAAATTTGTTTAAAAAATGTTCACATTCTTAAAAAAATTTATGTTTTTTTCAAATTTGTACGAATATCTTCAAAAATAAAAAAATGTTCATAATATTCGAAAATTATTCAGAAAATTTATAAATATTAAGTTTTTTTAATATTCGTGTTTCAATAATGTTCAATTTTTTCAAAAGTTTGTTCGCAAATACTTTCCCTATCCGGAAATACTTGTCGGAGAAATGGATGTATACATCTATGTGAGCGACAAGTAATATGGATCGGAGGGAGTATTAACAAACGACTGCGTTTTAGAAAGAAACGCAATAGTATGTTTCTTTTTTTTTGCATCGAAACGCAATAGTATGTGGTGCTGCAGTACGCGTGAAAAAAGAACCCGCAAAAAAAACTACGCTTGAAAAGAAGCGCTACAGTACGTATTGCTAAAGTAGTACGTTTTTTCCTGCGAAAATAGTGGTAAAGTACGTGTGAAAAAATACCGCTACAGCCCGCGTCGTTTGAAGAATGGGCTGGCCCAGTCGGGTCGCCCTATGTGCGTCCCGCTGCTCCTGGACGCATTGACCGGCACATAGGGACCTCTCTTTCTGCCATGGCGATTTATAATAAGTTATAGGTCTTCCTCCCAATTCCCCTTCTTTCGACTGCCAAAGTGCCGAGCGCCGCCGTCCGCCGGTCCGCCGCACCGTCCTCTAGCCGCCGCCCGCCGGCCTCCGCCGGCTGGTTGTTGCAAGCGCTGCACGCAGTCATTGCTGGCTGCTGGCCCTTCTCGTGCTGCCGGCTATTCTGTGAACTGCTGCCGAAGCCTGAAGGACCGGAGGTCGAAGGAGCAAGCAACTAGTAAGGTATGCATCCGTCGGTCCAGTATCATACGGCGATTCTGTATACATTCACTGCTAGTCTGCTACTACTACTCCGCTCCTGTCTAGCACTGAACAAACATGTACAATAAATAAATAAATAAAGGAGACACTAATCCCTTATATTATCTTCAGTTTTTGTATTATATGCTTACTTCACAACAATCACTAGCAAATTAAGATACCCAATGGTGATTCAGAGAAGATTACCTGCAGTTTTTGCCAGTTGCCACTGGATTGCTACTTTGCTAGTTTACTTCACAAAATGATATGTTTAGTGCAGTCATCCATGTCTGATTCAGAGAAGGACTTGCATATGGTGTTCATTGACTTGGAGAAGGCCTATGATAAGATACCGCGGAATGTCATGTGGTGGGCCTTGGAGAAACACAAAGTCCCAGCAAAGTACATTACCCTCATCAAGGACATGTACAATAATGTTGTGACAAGTGTTCGAACAAGTGATGTCGACACCGATGACTTCCCGATTAAGATAGGACTGCATCAGGGGTCAGCTTTGAGCCCTTATCTTTTTGCATTGGTGATGGATGAGGTCACAAGGGGTATACAAGGAGATATCCCATGGTGTATGCTCTTTGCGGATGATGTGGTGCTAGTTGACGATAGTCGGACGGGGGTAAATAGGAAGTTAGAGTTATGGAGACAAACCTTGGAATCGAAAGGGTTTAGGCTTAGTAGAACTAAAACCGAGTACATGATGTGCGGTTTCAGTACTACTAGC